TAGGGTTGGGCTGTTTGTCATACACCAAGAGGTGATGCCTGAAAAGGTAGATAATAACTTCCCAGACATCATTGGGCAAGTTTCCCAGGTCAGACAGGGACATGGCTGTGGGGCAGTATAGGTGTGAGGTGTTATCAGCCGGCACTTACAGAAACTGGTACATCACCCACTCAGTACAATGTATTGTTAATGCAATTATGAATTAAATGTTAAATAAATATGAATTCTTCATCACAACCTACCATATTGTAAAAAACAAATCTAATGCCATAGAAATTTCTTCTTCTTTTGGTTGTGTAGTTTAGCCTTCAATGGCTGAGCCATCTCTCCAGCCTGCCTTAAGAAATTTCTAAAGAAAGAAAAGAGATGTTATTATTTGTTGAATAAGCGACTATAACAATCAACCTCTGCTGGTCAGTGTTTCTATATCATCTGAGGGATTGTCTGGTTTTGCTTCTCCACTTATTTATTTATTTATTTATTTATTTATTTATTTATTTATTTGTATTTTCTCCTCTATTGACATATAGCACACATTCCGGGCTAAATAGCATTAAACAAGTGTAAGTTAAAATATAGAGAAATAAAATGAAGACTAGTGGGGAACATCAGAGATTCACTTGGTTTCTGATATGGCTGGTTTTAGGGGATCAAGCAATGTCCTTGGGCTAATGTCCTTCCTTAATTTTTCTCTCCTTGGAAGATACAGCTAATGCCTGCTTGATGTGTTTTTCTAAGTTACTAACTGAAGCAGCAGGATATTTCTCCATGACCATCTTTAAATGGATGTTTGAAGAATCAGTCTTATTTGGTTGGTCAAATTTACAATTAAAGACTGGCTAAGATGTGGAAACTCTGGCAATTTTGTGAGCCATGGAGATAAGTTTAGCTCCATTTGAACTATATAGATAAAACTTCACTGTCATTCAATAGTCTACCTGACATTTCTACTTTGAACTCTTGCAGGCATCTCAAATTAATCTAGTTTAAATGCCCCTCTTGAAGACTGCTCCCTCTAGTGTTGTCTCACTCTGAATTTTCAGTGAACAATTCTGTCTATCTCTTTGCTTATTCAATTCATGAGTCACATTTCTATGCCTAGTTCATTATCTCCATTCTAGACTAGGTGAAATAATAGCTCACATATTCAAATCAGTTATTACTGCTTCCCCTCTCACATCTACAGAGAAATCAGAATGACTTTTTGAAAATGCTGTGTTGTATTTCTTTGCTTAGAATTTCTTAATGGCTTCTGAATATGCTCAAAATAAAGATCTAAGCTCTTCACCCGAGTTTCCAAATGCTCACATGCTCTGCCTCTAACTCCTCTCTTCTCTGCACACTCTGCCTTGCTCATTTTGCTCTGCCCATATTGACCTTCTTTTGGATTCTTTGCATCTTCTGTTCCTCCCACAGAGAAGACTATCTCAACCTTGTTGATTCCTCACCATCTGAAATATCACCCCAACATCACCTACTTGTAGAACCTTTCTCTGTTACAGTTTCTTAGCTGTTATCTTATATTACTTTACTAATGACTCTTGATAATCAATTTTAAACTCAAAATACAGTTAAAACTTTCTAACTGTATTTTGAGTTTAAGGTTGGCACTGTTTTTGTTCAGTGCTGTTTATCCAGTGTCTACTACAATGCCTTGAACACAGGGGACTTATGATTGTACTGAATGAATAAATTAGTGATATAAAAGGAAGAAGACAGCTATAAGAAGAATAAAAAAGCAGTACAAGAGCTGTTTTTTCTTTACAATACTGATTAAGACTAGCCATAACTGTAGTCAATCATTAATGAATATGTAATTACTCAATCACACATACCTTCTGCAAAACTCAAAATGATGCCAAGGCCGGCACAGTCCCTTCCTTCAAAGAACATATAATCTTCATTATTAATGGAAGCTTATTCATGGAAAAGAATGCAGTCAATATTAAAATTAAGTAAAGACAGAATGGAACAATCTGAAACCTGTCACAGTCAGTGTACAACTGCTAATTGTGTGATTTGAATGATCAGGATTTGGGAGATTTGAGGAAGGAAACTTTTGGAGTCAGCAGGAAGCCTTCCTGGAGCGGGCTGTTCTATCACTGTGTTCTTCCTCTACTGGACCATATCCACCCTTATAGTAGAAAGATACATGTACAACTGGCCTTATTGTCATAGCTAGACCTCAAAGAGAATTCTCAAGCAGTATCTCCTGGTATCCAGGAGCATTTGATCTTTCTTGAGAACTTAGACTTTCTACAGTTACTTACCAGAGAAGAAAAGATTAAAAACCAAAACAGTAACTGAGCAGCCACCAGCCTACTAAGAACCATACACACTGTTTCAAGTATATTTTGTTTTTAATGCTGGAATTAAAGCCAAGGGAGACAATTACGTTCTTATTTTAAGGCAAATAAATAGTTTTTATCATTTGTTTAGACACAGATTTTTAAGTGAAATAATCATTAGCAAAATTATTTTTAGGGTTGGACCATGAAAACCTAAGGATAAGATTAGTCGTTTGGACTAGATATCATATTATTGAGTTCTCAATGGAAGTATACCAATAAGAAAAATCCAATTTCTTTAGAAAAATGACCATAACAATGGCTTCCAAGAAAATAGTTCATTTTTATATAAAATAAATGGCTAATATTGTTTTCTTTTTTGTTGTTGTTGTTCATAAACTTGTTAGTGTCATTGAGTTTATACTAATTGACTGTTTGAATTTTATACTGGGTATTTCTACAAATTTTAGTTTGTTTGTTTTTCGAGACAGGGTTTCTCTGTGTAGTTTTGGTGCCTGTCCTGGATCTCGCTCTGTAGACCAGGCTGTCCTTGAACTCACAGAGATCCTCCTGGCTCTGCCTCCTGAGTGCTGGGATTAAAGTTGTTAGCCACTACCATCCAGCAACACAAACTTTGAAAAAAATATTTGGTAATTTGGTTGTGAGCCTAGCCTTTAATTGCTGAACTATCTCTCCACTCTGTTTTCAATTTTGAAAAAAAATGCTTTACTGCTATATATTCATGTATAGTGTGATTGGATTCAGAAATACATTTTCATTCATATTTACCATGTGCTTTGACCACTTTCACTTCCAATCCTTTCTCCTTAATCCCCCTCTCCTTAATCCCCCTCCCACCTTCCCTGCCGCCTTCCTTTTCCCAGATATTTACACTACTACTTTATGCTATGTGTGCATATATTTCTATATTTAAGGTATTTTATTCATAACACCTCAGATTCACATATGAGAAAGAATGTGGTATTTGTCTTTCTGTATTTTTCTTACTTTACTCTTTCCATCTATTATCTTGAAAATAGCATTACCGCATTCTTTCATATGACTTAAAAAAATCCATTATGCACTTATAACACAATATATTTTCTTTGTCCATTTGTTTACTGATAGATACCTCATGATAGTCAACTTCTAGAATGGGTCTGCATGTTCACATTCTCTTTTGTAAAACCACAGACAGGCAGAGGTTTTCAAATGAGGGCCGAGGATGGAACCAACAAAGGAGGATAATAGCTCTTACTCTGAGGGAGATACTGTCTGGAAACAAGAGTTTAAAATATTCATCTTTCTATTTTATAGATGTCAGTTTCCCTTGCATTGTGAGGGAACACTGCAGGAACAAGAAGGACCATATAACAGGGTTTTGAGGAGATGGCATTACTTCATCACTAGACCAAAACAAGGAAAATGGGTTTAATATTTAGAAGGTAGAGTCTTCTGAGTGTTGTACTAGTTTTGTGGAGTGATGAAGAGGAAGAAACCATATGGAGCAGAAACACAGAACCCCTCGTCCCCAGAGGGTGTAGTAACTGGGGGTGGGGTGTAAGACTTAGTTTATAAGTAGACTTTGGTTCCTTTGACACATACCTGTGACTACTGACTTTGAATAGTCAGCCCAGTGCTCTTTGGTGGTATATTTCAGCAAGCCTCCTTTTAGGGAATCGTGACTCTTTAGGAAATAAGTTCTCTGAACATCTCAAATCCTTCCCAGGTTCAGTCTGGAATGATCAAGAAATGTCTTGCTCATGATAGGAAGTGTTGTGAAACTGGTTACTAGTGCTAGTATTAGACGTTTAGCCCTGAATGTCTCAGAGAGATGACTCAGAGTAAGGTGTCAGAGTTGTTACAGTCATTCCAAAGGTCAAGTGATGCAGTCGTCATCGACAAAATCAGCAAAACTGGGATCAGTGGTGGACTAGACACTATGAGAGTGTAGCAAACAGCTGTTGGGCTTTTTTTTTTTTTTTTAGAACTGAGGATGATGTCTTAAAAATAACACATACTTTAATTCGTTTGGTAATTAAGACTGAAATTATTTTGTAAGTAGTTTGCTAGACATCACAGGTATGATATAATTTTATTTACTTTTAAAAATTCTGTTTGTCTTTGTGTGTGTGTATATATGGGTCTATGTGAGTGTACATGTACACCTTTCTGTGAACATACAAGGCCAGAAGAGGGTATCACATAAAGTATCCTCTTATATATATCATTTTCACCTACTCCTCTGAGCCACAGTTTCTTCTTGAACCCAGGGTGCTTGCTTTTGGGGAGAGGCTTAAAGCTGCAAGCCTCTGCAGCCCCCAAGAGCTGGAATTACAGGAGTCTGCAAGGAAACCAGGCTTATCTCACAGGTACTGGGATCCATATCTGTATCCTTATGATTTCAGCGAAAGCATTCTTAACCATTGATCCATCATTCAAGCTCCAAATTTTACTTCCCAAATCAACTCTGTAAGGCAGACATCACAATCACCCCATTTTAAAGAGGATCAGTGAATTTGGCCATTTTGAAAAGGTTGTTCAGTCCCACAAGGATTTGAACACAGATTTAGTCTTCTCACTGTGGAAAGCCAATATGCAGCATGAAAATGAGCTAAAAACCTGTTCTTCACAAACAAAAAAATTTCTTGATAGGTAAGAAATAATATGTTCTTCAGGACTAACAGTTTTCATTTATTTATTTTTTATCAGATGTCTAGGATGTTTCGACGTTCTTCTGGAATGGGTCGATTTATCAAGTCCCATGTGATCAAGATTAGGTATGTAGACCTGATCTGGAATTTCAAGCCAATACCGCAAAGATGGCACCTTTAACTGACATGGCTGCTCAGCCACCCTGAGAATCATTTTAGCAAAGTGATTTCATAAAATTTAAGCAACACGAATTATGCTGTCTGACCGTTTCAATGACTTCTTAGTCACAATAGGAAGATAGAAAGTGCTTCAAAGGAGACTCACCGCTATTAGGTAAGAAAAATTACACAGAAAGGAGAGGAAATGAGATGGTTCTATTAACACCAACCTGCTCCCGTCAAGAAGGAGCAAAATAGAACAGAATGCAGGACCTTTTCATTTTCCTTTCCTTAAGTCTCTATAACCATCACTGTCACCTCCTATGGAATGTTTTTCCTTAATACGAACAATTTTTTTTTTTTACTAAGAGATTTTTCTATTTGCTTTGCATATCAACCATGGATTCCCCGTCCTCCCTCCTCCCACCCTCAGCCTTTCCCCCCAATCCACCCTCCATTCCCACCTCCTCCAAGGCAAGGTCTCCCCTGGGAAGTCAGCAGAGCCTAGTACATTCAGGTGAGGCAGGTTCAATCCCCTCCTCCCTGCACCAAGGCTGAGCAAAGTGTCTCAGCATAGGCCCTAGGTTCCAAAAAGCTGGCTCATGCACTAACGACAGTTCCTGGTCTCACTGCCTGGGGGGCCCTTGAACAGTTCCAGCTAAACAACTGTCTCACTTATCCAGAGGGCCTAATCCAGTACCATGGGGGCTCCGAAGCTTATTGGTTCACAGTTCATGTGTTTCCGCTAGTTTGTCTAGTTGTCTCTGTACTTTTTCCTATCATGGTCTCGATATCTCTTGCTCATATAATCCCTCCTCTATCTCATTGATTGGACTCCTGGAGTTCGGCCTGGCACCTTGCCATGGATCTCTGCATCTGTTTCCATCAGTCACTGGATAAGGGTTCTATCATGGCAGTTAGGGTGTTCGTCCATCTGATCACCAGAGTAGGTCAGCTCAGGCACCCTCTCGACCATTGCCAGTAGTCTATAGTGGAGTCATCTTTGTGGGTTCCTGGGGACCTCTCTAGCACTTTGCTCCTTCCTATTCCCATGGGGTCTTAATTTATCATGGTATCTCTTTCCTTGTTCTCCCACTCTGTTCCTGATCCAGCTAGGACCTCCCGCTCCCCTAAGCTCTCTTTACCCCAACTTTTGCCCTCCATTACGCCCCCAGCCTCGGTTTGCCCATATAGATCTCATCCATTTCTCTGTTGCTGGGCAATCCCTGTGTCTTTCCTAGGGTCCTCTTTACTAGCTAGACTCCCTAGAGATGTGGGTTGCTTTCTGGTTATCTTTTGCTTTACATCTAGTATCCACTTATGAGTGAGTACATACTATGTTTGTCTTTCTGAGTCTGGGTTACCTCACTCAGGATGATATTTTCTAGTTCCATCCATTTGTCTGCAAACCTCATGATGTCATTGTTTTTCTCTGCTGAGTAGTACTCCATTGTGTATATGTACCACATTTTCTTTATCCATTCTTCAGTTGAAGGGCATCTAGGTTGTTTCCAGGTTCTGGCTATTACAAATAGTGCTGCTATGAACATAGTTGAGCATGTGTCCTTGTGGTATGATTGAGCATTCCTTGGGTATATGCCCAAGAGTGGTATAGCTGGGTCTTGAGGTAGATTGATTCCCAATTTTCTGAGAAAGCACCACACTGATTTCCAAAGTGGCTCTACCAGTTTGCATTCCCACCAACAGTGGAGGAGTGTTCCCCTTGCTCCACATCCTCTCCAACATAAGCTGTCATCAGTGTTTTTGATCTTAGCCATTCTGACAGGTGTAAGATGGTATCTCAGAGTTGTTTTGATTTGCATTTCCCTGATGACTAAGGATGTTGAGCAATTCCTTAAATGTCTTTCAGCCATTTGAGCTTCTTCTCTTGAGAATTCTCTGTTTAGCTCTATAGCTCATTTTTTAATTGGATTGTTATATATTTTGATGTCTAGTTTCTTGAGTTCTTTATATATTCTGGATATCAGCCCTCTGTCAGATGCGGGGTTGGTGAGTATCTTTTCCCATTCTGTAGGCTGTCATTTTGTCGTATTGCCCGTGTCCTTTGCCCTACAAAACCTTCTCAGTTTCAAGAGGTCCCATTTATTAATTATTGTCTGACCATTTCAGTGACTTCCTAGTCACAATAGGAAGATAGAAAGTGCTTCAAAGGAGACTCACCGCTATTAGGCAAGAAAAATTACACAGAAAGGAGAGGAAATGAGATGGTTCTATTAACACCAACCTGCTCCCGTCAAGAAGGAGCAAAATAGAACAGAATGCAGGACTTTTTCATTTTCCTTTCTTTAGTCTCTGTAACAATCACTGTCACTTCCTATGGAATTTTTTTCCTTAATATGAACAATTTTTTGTTGTTTTTAAAAACATCTTTTTGTTTTAATACTTTGGCAAAATGTAATATATGTAAATTAAACATGGAGTTATTATCAGAGGCTAATATCTGTCTTTTTTTTACATTTTTAAAAATCCTGTGCATATGTGGGCATGTGCATCAGTCAGCATGCACATGGAAGTCAGAGGACAACTTATAGGAGTCAGTTCTCTACTTCCACCATGTGGATTCCAGGGATCAAAGTCAGGTCATTAGGCTTGGCAGCAAGCACCTTTACCTGCCGAGCCATCTCACTAGCTCTCAGTGTGTTTTAATATGATGTTTAAAAGGCCTAGATTTCACACTGAGATAGACGAATAGATGACAGATAGGTGTTAGTTAGACAGATGATGAGAGATAGATATGGAGATTATAGATAGATAATTAGATATAGAGATGATAGATGATAGATAGATAGATAGATAGATAGATAGATAGATAGATAGATAGATAATAGGCAAACAGACAGACAGGCAGATAGATATGACAGGGGGTTCATAGAGATGATAGGTGGATAATAGGATATGTATGGTTGTTTAACTTCTGAGTGATAGTCTTTTTTCCATCTTTTTCTTTTTGTCTCCTTTCTTCTTTTATTTGTCTAAAGTACCAAAATATCACTGTTTTTGTACAATATTTATTGCATTTCCATAGGTCAACTCAAAGAGTCAAAAGTGAGGCCAAAAGAGTGGATGCCTGTGGGCATTATAGTATTGCATTGCCACAAGATCTACTTCTGCCTCAGACAAGAGAAGCACGAGACCTTGGCAGTAAGGGACATCATTTCTGACCACATCCCTCTGGCCAGAATTAATGAGAGAGTTTCAGTAAACATCAAGATAGGTTAGAAATGTGGTATAGTTCTGTGCTCAGGAGACTAATGACCTCAGCTACCTTACCACTTTCATTTAAAATGCCCTAAAAAGCTAATTCTTTAAGTGAATACAAAGTGTGGTTTCGCCGGGCGTTGGTGGCGCACGCCTTTAATCCCAGCACTCGGGAGGCAGAGCCAGGCGAATCTCTGTGAGTTCGAGGCCAGCCTGGGCTACCAAGTGAGTTCCAGGAAAGGCGCAAAGCTACACAGAGAAACCCTGTCTCGAAAAACCAAAAAAAAAAAAAAAGTGTGGTTTCATGAGTACCTCACAAGACTCTCCGAACCAAGGAAAAGTGAGAATAATCTTAGTATTTCTACCATGTTGCTTTCCCTTCTACAGTGCTTGCCACACTCATTATCATCATGTACACTATCTTGTTCCCTTTATCTGGATGTAATGCAAGTCTCCTGTGCATAAACACCCATTAACGTTACTTTAATTCATGGAGATCACAGAGATGGAATTATTTCTCTATTTTGCTCCAGTCCAGATGAACAGGGTGTGAACATTCTTATGGTGCTCATGTTTCGATACCCATCTACTGATAGTGTTGAACGAATCAAGAAAAAAATTGAAACGACTTTATATCAAAGTCTGAAGATCAAGCAGTTACCTTTGACTATATATAAACCGTCATTTAGTCTCACACGTAAGTATTTTGCTGTTGTTTGCCATTTTTCCAATTCTCTTTTACTGCAATCTCCTGTATTTGTCAGAAGAATCTGGTTCATGTATCTTCCCATTTTACAAATTCACTACTAATAAGTATATCAATGGGCCTGGAGAAATGACTGAGCATTTAAGAATACTTTCTTTTCTTGCAAAGGATCCAGGTTCAGCTCCAAGCATCCACATGACAGAACACAATTACCTATAAGCCAAGTTACAAGGTATCTGACAACTTTCTGACATCTGTGGGCTCCTGTATGTACATGGCGAATGCATGCATGCATGTGCATGCTCACACACGTGTGCGCGCGCGCGCGCACACACACACACACACACACACACACACACACTAACAACATATCAGTGTGGAAGAAAACTAAATTAAAATTTCCCTATGAGGTAAAATTTAGAATTATACTTTTTTTCTAAACTTATGAGAGCTTTCGACAAAATTTCTAAGTTTTTTAACCAAATGATATTGGATATTTTAAAACGCATCAAAGAGTAGGCATTATTTTCAACATTTTACATGGGAAGTTTGACATTAAACAAGGCCCTGAGACATGAATGAGCAAAATAACCAGAATTAAACAGAGACATTATGAGCCTCATAATCCTTTATGGGTTCATTTTGAGGGTTTTTGTTTGTTTGTTTTTTAAGACTTTCCCCCTATTTATATGAGTGTGTATGTGCCTGTGTGAGTTTATGTGCACATGTGTGAAGATGCCAGTGGAGGCCTGAAGAGGATGCCTGGTCCCTTGTTGTTGGAATTACAGGGGGATGTGGATGCTGAGATGCCCCAGGTCTTCTGCAAGAACATCAAGTCCTCTTGACTACTGAATTCTCTATAGCCCCATGAATTACATTTTATAGCAAAGAAACAAACATGTACAAAGAATGATTCTGAAATAAGAGAGACATAAACTATAAAGCGGTCCACTGACTTATTTTTAACTTCAAAATATTTTTCATTATTTCCCTGTTACTCTCAAAAGAAAAGAAAATATAAGGAAAGTCCTAGTTTTCCCCCAAAGTAGAAGAAAATGAAGTTCAAATAGTTTATGAAATTAAAATGATAAGTACCTTAGAACTAGTTAGAATCCAAGCCAAGAGGGATTCTATTGTTCTCTGCCAAAATAAAATACTGCTTCAAATAAAATGCTGTCTTAAATGGTGTTTTAAGATGCAAGGACTGGACTTGCCTCTTTTTCCTTTACCTCCTTAGTCTGTTTCCACATCTCAGGACAGCAGGCCTTCCAGTTCCTTTGCTTTATCTCATGAATTTCTACGTTTAGTTGCTTTTGATTTCATATAAAAGAGGGAAGGGCTTGTAGTTCCTTCATGGAAATCTTTAAGTCAAATCTTTCCATATATTTCATAGGTAGTTACAAATAATGATGATCACATTATTTACTATAGATTATTTTGATTGTTAAAACATTTCACTCCAAAAGAACATAGGTCATATTCATCATTCTGTAAAAAGGATTCTCAGAGAAAATCTTGATTATTGATAATATAGCTATTACCAAGTCATGATCACATACTTAAAGTAAAATATAAACTATAAACATTTACTGCATTATTAAATTATAGAATGTCTTAACAGTTTTCAAAGATATTTTTGGCTTTGGTTATACACAATGACATTTTTATCATACAGGGTATTTTGATACCCAAATGAGCATATTCCAAGACAATGCTTGATATTAAATATTCATTTGCATATATTTCCTTCTGTTACATACATACTATTCATTTTTAAAAAGTCTCTGGAAAATCCTTAGCAGGGATTTGGCTTACATTCCTATTTGGACTTTCATAACAGAACAGAATACTCCAAAGTATGTTGTCTGGCATGGAGAGTTTTGAACTAAAGTAAATAAATTTAAAGGGCCTTCAAAGATAGTCCTTTCTGAATCTCACACTCCCTACTTTTCTCTCTTCTACTCCAAAGCAAGCAACTAGAATGCCTCTTTCCTAAAGCAGGTACTGAGAGTTTGACCCATCTACCTTCCTGTGAAGAACAGGTCATAGAGAATTCTCCAACCCTATACAACAGTAGATTACAAGACCTCCTTTCCAGAGGAACCATGTCTGGGAAAGGAGGAAGGCTTCTTACATGGATTAAAAAAAGACTGATCAGACAGGGTCTGTCTACACTAGATCACTACCTAGTCTCTGGCTACCTTTCTACAGGCATATCTGGGGGATAAGAGTTGTAAATGGATGGGTCTTTAGACAGGTTATAAGTGAAGGAGCTTCATGCACTTCTCTTAGTGCCGAGTCACAAACTTCTCAGGCACTTCAATATGAGATAGGGTCTCAGGGAGAAGTCAGCAAGATCCATGGACAGAATTCCTAATTCTTGTTAGACCAGGGCCTTGACATTGGGCTGTGAGGGTCTGCCTTCATTGCTGACCATTGTGAATACAGAAGAAAGACACTGAGTGACAACATCAGTTGTGATGGAAATTGGAGGCCACTTCTTGGGCTTTGACTACAGCCCCATAAAGAAAGCCATTGGCACATTTACCCTTGCTCCTTCATTCCTAATTGTTTTACTTGTTCATAAAAGAAAAATCATAAAATAAGATGCTCTGAGTTTATTTTCAAATGAAATTCTATTATTTGAACCAATGATTAAATCAGAGTATTATAGTATATAACTTGGTTATGAAGACTTCAATGTCCTCCTGAATTATAGATACTTCAAATAATTAGCAATGCTGTTCATGAACATGTAAACAAAATAGCCCAGGAAAAGGACTGTGTTGTCATATCAACTAACTTTTATTCTTTTCTTACAGCTATTGACAGCAAAAAGATGAGAAATCTTCTCAATAGTCGTAAGTTCCAAAATCCACAATTAACTGTTTATTTTTTAATAAAGAGAATGGATAAGAATCACAAAAGAGTTAGCACAGATCATAAGAATTTTTTATTTCTTTTTATACTTTCATAAAGTACTTAGTCTTATCATTTTTGTTTTTAATACTTCACATATTAGGTGTATATCAATGTGATTTTAGTCTTTATACTCTATACATGTTGTATAATATTTTAGATGTTGTATTAATATTTTAAATATTTTTAATATTTTCTCATAATTCAAGAAAAGACCAAGTTGAAGTTTTTATTTTTACTTTTTAAGGTTTTAAGGTGTTTTTAAAAAGTTTTTAAGGTTTTCACCCTGCTTCACCCTATGACACTTGCATATATTTTGAGCTTTGTAAGCAAATATGTGCCTATTATCAATGTTGTAAGAATATTTACAAGTCTTTTTAAAGGTTGGTTTGAAGTTTGATCAATTGAAGATATCAGGGAATAAGAGTTTTTCTAAACTACTCTTATATAGTAGTTTTCATTTTAGAAAAAGAAACATATCATTTAAAATTAGTAAAATACATGAAAGATAATAAACCAATTCTTGTCACACGAAGGGCAAACCATGACCTATATTCAGTCTCTCAACAGTAAAATACTATATTGGCTTGGATGTGGAATCTCCTAATGTTACATCCCACTCTGCCACTTACCAGCTAGGTGATGTACAGCACTTTGTGTCCCTCTCCAAGGCTGGGTTTTCTCATCTAAAAAGTGTGTTGATATATATATATATATATGTGTGTGTGTGTGTGTATAATTTATATATATTATATATATATATATAATTTATACATTATATATATAAAATTTAAAAGAATATCTAGACATTTTTGATGTTTAGAAATAACCTATGTGTTGATAAAAATAAATGACAAAATGACTCTAGGATGGTCATCAGGAGAATAAAAATCCTTTTCCATACTTCAATTACATGCTGACATGGGCTGATTACCACAAAGATAACTCACATCAGGGACTCAATCTACCATAGAGATTGCTTTCCCCAGCCTAATTATATCTTAACAGGTATTAGATACACCAGATTGGTCAGTTTATTGTATATTTCTTGACTTAGACATTCCATGAGACTTGCAAAATTTAAGACCACCGGGGTTCGCATTAGTTTCTGATCTATGAACTTGTCCCAACTCCATCCCTCCCCCTCAAAGGATGCTAAATTACCACATACACACTTGATGGTCCCTTAGCAGAACACTTGGTCAGAATTGCTGACTGTACTTTCAACTTTCAAATCTATTCGGCACCCAATAAAGCTGCTTCTGTTTCTGCATCTATTTCTAAGCTCATTTATTATTTTTGGCTCATATTATCGACCTATATTATTTGTTTGTGAGAGACTTACTGTGTTGTGTAGCCCTGGCTGGCTAAATACTGACAAAATTCCTGTATAGGCATCTCAAATGCTGGAATTACAAATATGTGTGTCAACATATTTTGTATAGAGACAGAAGTTGATTTTTGAACTAAATGCCTAAGCCTATTGGTAAATATTTCTGAACCTCAGGGTAATAAATAATACACACACACACACACACACACACACACACACACACACACACACACACATATATGCCAGTGACTGTTAGGAATGGGTTAAAGAGTTACTGAGCAAAGGATTTTCTCAGTAACTTCCTTAAATACAAGTCATGATACTTTCCTCTGTTGTCATGAGAACAAACTACTATATGTTTCTTTTTCAGGATGTGGGATAAGGATGTCATCTTCAAACATGCCATTGCCAGCATCCTCTACTACTGAACGAATTGTCCAAGGAAGGGAAACTGCTATGGAAGGGGAGTGGCCATGGCAGGCCAGCCTACAGCTCATAGGGGCTGGCCATCAGTGTGGAGCCACGCTCATCAGCAACACATGGCTGCTCACAGCAGCTCACTGTTTCTGGAAGTAAGTTGACCGGGCTTTTGTTTGTTTCCTAGTCCTCTTTTGTAAATGATTGAATGCAAGGGAACAGCTCAAACTCACCAGCCCCTCCTCTGGTCTGCACCTTCTTTGAGTTCTACATTCCTGCTTGGTTTGTATCATTGTGATTCTAGTGCTATCTTTCCCATAATATTACAGGTTATTTGTCATGAAAAAACTATTATACTTGTCTTCAACATACTCAAGGAGAAAAGTTAGCCACCTCTGTTCTGCTCCCCAATAATTAATTGACTTGCCACTGTCAGTATCCAGTATTATTTGATTACAAAGAAAAAAAAAGGCTTCAAAATCTGTTTTGAAGCACTCCCTTCTCAGTACATTATCCAGGAAACCCCAAGGGAGTGCATGACTCAGAAGGTGTATAGAGGTGTCACTCTGCCCTCATAGCATGGAATTTTGGTCATGTGTAGCATAGTGTGAGCTCTCAGCTTAGTTTTCGTGGTTGTTGCTCTCAAAATCCAGACATACACAGACTCTCAAGAGTACCTGGAGATTGAATTGCATGCATGATCTTTTCTCCCTTGGGAATTACTGTCAGCATAGAGAGAATCTTAAAAGGCAGGAGGGTTTCTGAATAAAGGTTCTTGGCTTGCACAATGCCACTGTCTATGTGTCCTCCCAAAGCAGCTTTTCCCTGGTGCTTCTAGAAAGCTTTTTTTCTTTTATCCTTCTTTTAAGGGCAGCAACAAAATAAATCCAAGACACTTCACCAGTCTTTACACAGACAAGATGTAATGAGAATGACCTAATGAATTTACAGTTATCTGTTGCTCCCTCAATGAAGAAGATACTCACTATTGTATGTCTATGAATCCCAAAGCAACTAATACTGTGTCTTCATGATGAACATAAGTCCCACATGGTTGTTAAGACTTTTTGAGGGTGAGCAGTGGTGGCACACGCTTTTAATCCCAGACACTCAGGAGGCAGAGGCAGGCAGATCTCTGTGAGTTTGAGGCCAGCCTGGTCTACAGAGTGAGATCCAGAACAGGCACCAAAGCTACAAAGAGAAATCCTGTCTTGAAAAACCAAAATAAAAAAAAAAAAGACTTTCTGACACATTCGAGTCCTTACAGTCTCTCAATACTTGTTTTTCTGTTTTGGTAAAAGTGTTAATTCACTTTAGTTTACAATTGTCCTCTGTTTATATAAAGTAACAATTACAATCAGAATTCTAGATTAATATTAGCAATGGATATAAACACTCCCTTCAATGGGTCTAGTGCAATATCTGCAGATGGACACAGGAAATGGATGTTGAAGTGTGTAAAATAAAGATTGCTATTGACCTTAATAAGGTCATTTTTCATAGTGTGATAAGAAAAAGTAATTGAAGGAACAAGTGCAGTAACTTTAAAAACTCCTTTTAAGAAGTGTATAAATGAGAGATGGCAAAGAAATTTGGAAGTTAATGGCAATTATGAAGTCAAAGGAAGACTTTTTAATATGGCAAATAGAGCATATTTGATATTGATAGAAGAAATTCAAAGAGCTGGATAAGGTGATGATCCTGAAGAAAAGGGATTATATTTTCAGAGTGCCATAATTTTGTATATTGTATACTTGAAATACTATTTAGAAAATGAATAAAGGGGTATTTTGAAGATAATATAGAAGTTATCCAAACACCCTTCCTATTTTAATAAATAATTTTTTATATAAATAGTATTTTTAAAAATGGTGTTTAAGTACAATCCCAGCACTTCATGTCCAGGAAAGTTTACTCCAGTCTTAAAGAAACAATGTGAGTCAGAAAAAAATTTTGACAAGATGTAGGAAGACAAGTTGTAGTGAGGCCTGAGTATGTCTTAGTGTCCTTAGTCACAAAGCAGGGTGATTAGGCCTGTTGTGAGTCTTTGATGATGCACAAAAGTAAGGTCCTTCTATTTTGTTGTCCCAAACTAGGATCTCCTTAACTCCCAGAGTCATATTAGTCATTATCTCCCCTAGAATTCTAGGTATCAAATGAAGGTTCCTGTCCTAGTGTGTCTACATTGAACAAATTTTCCATTAATAAAAAAATAAACAAATAGGTGAGAGAAGAACTCTCTTTCTGTTCCTTGCTCTGTCTGGTCATTCCTGGGAAGTCTAGTGCACTCTGAAAATGTCTACTCTTAAAAGTTGATGATTCAGGGAAGGGGGAGTGGTGTACTTATATGATAATCTCAAAATACAAAATAAATAATTTTTCTAAAAAAAGAAAGGAAGGAAGGAAGGGAAGAAAGAAGAGCTCTGACTTCAGAGCAGGCAATATAGAATGTAATATCCATGGGCTGGAGAGATGGCTCTGTGGTTAAGAAAATATTCTACTCTCAAAGAGGACCCAAGTTCCATTCCCAGCAGACATAATAAGTGTGGAACAATTGCCTGTGACCCCAAGCTCCAGCAGATCAGATGCCTCTTGCCCCCACTGACACCTGTATTCATGTACACATAGCCTCATACAGGCAAACACAAAAAATCATTTCAGAAAGAAAAAAAAGTCGATGATTCACCAACATGATAATCCCTTAAAAATGAGGAAATTCTTTTTCTGAATTCTCCTCTGTGATTTCCTTCTACCCAACTTCCCTTGACTCGGGCAATTTCTGGTTTCTGTGTATGTCTAATCATGTGTGATGTGAATAATTCGAGAAGAACTGAAATGGACTTTGGGGAAGAATTATGGCAGGTAAGAGCTGATTGGGGTGGATGGAATTTGTGACATAACCCTGGAAAAGAAAAGTCCATCTATGTGAAAGAAGAGGGGTGAGAGGGGGACGGAACAGACTACAGAAAAGGCTGTGTGAGCCTGGCTTCCAGTAAGAGCAGCTTAGCCCTTGACTGTCAGGAAGGGGTGTGGGCCTGGGTGGAGAAACAATTCTGTGCATACGAGGAAGGGCACAGTGGACACATTCTGCTCAACCTCAAAGATCACAGTAAACAAGAACCAACAAGTAAGTTGTCAAATCAGGATGGGTGTTTTGATGCGGAGGGAACTTGCCTGCTAGTACGTTCATTACCGAAAAGAGAGCAAATTAGTTTCTGCATAAATCATTGAAATCAAAGAGTGAGAACCCAATGAACTCTAACAAGGCACAACTTTGAATTTTGAAAATTGATCATGCTAATAGATTGATAAATTATGTACAATTATTTCGTTTAACCATAGGCTACCCCTTTCTCACAGGGGCACCAACTGTTGATTCTTCCACCATAGGGATTCTTCAAGAGCTTAATTTTAAAAGTTGGACAGAAATATGATTTTGATCTTTTTATTTTAAGAAGGTAATAAGAACCATCACAAATATTACCCTCTAATTTCCTGTAGAAACAGAGACCCTAGTAAATGGATTGCTACTTTTGGTACAACTATAACACCACCTCTAGTGAAAAGAAGTGTTGGTAAGATTATCATCCATGAAAATTACCACAGAGAAAGCAACGAAAACGACATTGCGCTGGCCCAGCTCACCACCCGTGTAGAGTTTTCAAATGTGGTTCAGAGAGTCTGCCTTCCAGATTCGTCTATGAAACTGCCACCAAAAACAAGTGTGTTTGTCACGGGATTTGGGTCTATTGTAGATGATGGTGAGTAGTTCTACCATATTTTTTTTTTGATACAAAAATATTTTCATAAAAATATTGGTGCAGGGGAAAACTTATATCCTTTTGCCCAAGCAAAAGGTTGTGAGTTAGGGTCCACAGCACCCACATGTAAGCCAACTGTGTGGCTCAAACCTGTAATCAATGGATTCAGTGTTCAGTGAGAAAACCTAAAACTCAGTCTCAAAAAATTAACTGACAGTGATTGAAGAAAGCAGTGACCAGCAACCCCTATCCTCCACATGCATATACATAGATACACACTTGTGCACATATTCATATGTGCACACATACAAACACATACTCACACAAATGTTACAACACACACACATACACATACGTACACACAGATGATGATGATGATGGCAAAGCTCTTACGTGTGTGGTCCTTGGTGGAATGGGGTGCTGAATGTTGAAAAGTAAACGAAATAACCTTGTCTCAGAGTTCACAACTGAAAGAGTAGTAAGAAACGACAGAGACTAATAAAGAAGAAAACAGTACCTTTGATAATATAATAAAGGACAAATACAGGAGCGGCTATAAACAAATTGTATACTTCCTTGGTGCAAATCCTTTTGATCAGCATATATTTTAAATCTCATTCTTGATCATATCTTTTCCTTATTTTCCCTTTATCCTCTCTTTAGAAATTTTTTAAAGATATCAAGTCTAAGAATTGCATAAATTGAAAATCAAACCTTAAGAATTCTAAGTATCAATTTGCTACACACAGAGAGATGAATCAAATACTTAAAAGTGACACATTTAATGTTCAATGAAGAGTCTACTGACGATGCCATGTATGGTGACGCAAGCCTTTAGTCTTAGCACTGGCAGGTAACAGCAGGCAGATCTCTGAGTTCGAGGGCAGCCCGGTCTACAGATCGAGTTCCAGAACAGCCAGGGCTACACAGAGAAAACCCCTGTCTTGAACCCCATCCCCCAAAAAAAGAGTACACTGAAGGAAATAGGAGACAGGACACATGCTAAAACACTTAGGCTAGCTCTTCGAAAGTATAGTTTTGTTATGGAAAATTTTCTCATGTGTGCCACATATATCCATCCAACTTGACTTTCTAAGCGTTTCTTATGAATTTCATTTTCACTAACTAACTAGTGATTATTCACCCATAGGTCACCCAAACCCCAAGCTACTTTCCACTTGTATTTCACCATGCAGCATCCTCCACTCCTAGCCCTTATCACCACTCTGCTGTCAGACAGCTGGCACAAGTTGTCACCCATTTTACTTTCCATGTTATGAAATGCCTTAAATAACACACCGCCAGTGACACCAGGAAGAATGCTTCTCTGGGTTGTGTCCTGGTTTCTACTTTAATATTAATATTAGCTGAAAAAAAACCCAGCAAATTTATTTATCATGCAACTTGGACTAGATCAGTGTGGCTGATCCCTCTGACCATCCAGTGAAGAGTGCAGAGTCCATCCTCATGAAGACTCTTGTATACATATAATATTTGTGTGTAGTTTTAAAGGATGCTTTGGGAGAACCACTGATATGATACAGTTCTGAGGCTTGTATGTTTCATTTCTTTCATGCAGACACTTAGGATAGAGCAAATACAATTCAGCAAAAACCAATATTCATAAAATACTTGTGCTTTGGCTCCTGGGTCTATACAGCTTACCTCTAGTCTGTAGCAGAGGCACCATCATGTTAAAAAAAAAAAGCACATTATTTCTTTGCTTATTTATCTGTGTGTATGTAATAGGACCTACACAAAATAAACTTCGGCAAGCCAGGGTGGAAACCATAGGCACTGATGTGTGTAACAGAAAGGATGTGTATGACGGCCTGATAACTCCGGGGATGCTGTGCGCTGGATTCATGGAAGGAAAAGTAGATGCATGTAAGGTAAGTCGAAAGCTGAAGTCAATCCTTCCAAAGGAAGTTTCTGTTGGCTCTTTCTGAGCTTAGTATATCCTAGTAGAACAACTGTATTGAGTGTTTAATGTGCACAAACCCAAAGTACAGCCCCTTTAGAACAGCGTTTTATTGTTATATTATTGTTTATACTTATTATTTTTTATATTATTGATTTTCAATGTAGCAAGATATATGCAGAACTATATCATTTTCGATATTCTACACTTCAGGAAAATCAAATCAGTTGTCCCCTCTTTTGTCCCACACAATTACTTTATGCTTCCTTATTCTTTTTCCTTCCTTTTTTGAGGTGAGAGATGGGAGTGGGAGATTGAGACAGAGTCTCATATAGCAGTACAGGTTAGCCTCAAACTTGCTATGTAGCTGAGGATGACCTTGAACTCTTAACCTTCTTTTCTCTACCACCCAAATTCTGAGGTTATAGAGTGCACCACCAAGCTTGACTTCCGTTGTTATTTTCTTTAAGTCAAGCCCCGAAGACAGAGAACCACTCCTCTGAATAACTCGTTTTCTTGGAACCTCTTGACCAACAACTACAAGGCAGGGTTCCCTCGGCAGGAACTGAGGTTTTTGTTAGATAGTGTATGGCTCTTGGGGGAACATTTTCACCTATGTGATGAACTCCATTATGTGTGGACGTGCAAGCATGTGTGTAAGTGAGCTTATAAAATAATATATTATAAAACGATGTATTTTCCTATGGCTTTTCAAACATCTTTGGTGTTATTTATCCCTCCTTCCTGTCTCTCCCACTGTATTATCCTCCTTTCCTCCTCTCCAATTAAGTTCCTCCTCCCCATCTCCCCATTTTCTCCTTGAGAACACCTATGCCCTATCTTCTTCTTCAGAGCTAGATCGCCCACCCCCCCCCCCACCGTGGTCCCTTTCTACTGCCCTGGCTTCTGTGGTGACTCAGATCTCAAGATTCCTAGCTAAGATCCACAAAGAGAGCATGTGGTATTTTCCTTTTGAAGTCTGAGTTACTTCACTGGTATATTTTCCAGTTCCATCCATCTAACAGCAAATTTCATGATTTTGTCTTTCCTTATTGCTGAATAGAATTTTGTTGTACTACATTTTTATTACCCATTAACCAGTAGAAAGGCATCTAGTCTGCTTCCATTTTCTAGCAATTGTGAATAGAGTGGAAAAAAGAACAATTCGCATATGCCTTTTTCTTGTTTTTCTAGTATATATTTTATTTATTTCTGCTCTGTACTCCATTTCCTTCTGTTTTCCAACTTTGGCCTTAGTTTGTTCATTTTTCCACCTTTTCAAGGAGCAATGTTATATTTAATTGAGATCTTTATTCTTTTCTGATCTAGCCATTCCACACTGTAAGTTTCCCTATGCATCTATTTTTCCTGCATCTCATAATTTTGGGGGGATACTGTTTCAGTTTTTGTCTCAGAGTCTTTTCTTCATTTCCTTTTGTATTTCTCTTGTGGCTCACTGATTGTGCAGAAGTATATTTTTCTCCATATTTGTGAATTTGTACAGATTTTCCATTTATTGACTTGTAGTTTCAAGCCACTCTTGTTCTGTAAGTCACCTCTTCTCTACGACCCCCCCCCCTCTCCACTCAAGTTCCTGCTTTCACTGGCATTCGGGGAAAGTTCATAATAGCTCTGACTGAGCCTCTTACTTACGTTTACCTTGCAACTACCTGGTTTTGTTTTATTATTGTTGTTCAGAAGTCTTGCGGGGAAATCTCTAGATGCCTCCAGCTACAACCCTATTTTGCGGCTTGGCTATATAATAGTTGGAAAGAACGTCTATGCCTATTGTCTCTATTTCTCACTTCCTTCTAATGCTTTCATCCATCATGTATTGGATTTTCCCTATGACGTTTTCCAAATAGTCCTCCCTAATGACTCACCAGTGACATCAATGTTAAATTCTAATAGGCATCTTAGACATTGTTCTTGTTTTTAAAGCTCATTAACAGCATTTAATAATGCTTACTACCTCCATCCTTGAAGGATTGTCTTCTCTCCAGTCTTTAATGATTTCCATTTTCCTCTTCACGCCGCATATCAAGCTGCTGATGGGATCTGCTGGATTGTTACCTTTCCTTTAATTTCTGTCTCACCAGTTCCATACTGTTCTTCCCGCTCTTTTCTTTCCTCTCGCCACATAGCTTCCAGCTCCTCACTGGCCATCTCATCTTTACCCTTGTCCTTCTTCAGTGCGTTGGCCAGATAGACGTCAGCCATATTTATAATATGCTGCTCCAGCTATGTCAAATGCCTCGTTGAAATATTTCAGCCACTGTTTTTTGTTCTTAAAAATACAAAACAAAGCTTTCTAAATGAAGTCCGTCATTCCTGCCCCCATCTGCCACTCGTCTCCTCACACCTCTGATCCCATCCCCCTGCCATTTTTTCACTCCCCAATTCCATCTTTTCTATCCTTGTATATGCCAGATTCCTCCACACCACAGAGCATTTGTGAAAATGCTCCCTCTGTCTAGAATGAGATACATTACCACTTCCCGATACACAACCAACCCCCTCTACCTTCTCATACCAACACCATTACATTTCCAAGGGCTGTAAGGGGAGGGTACACCCTGAACAATCAAATTCTAGTTTCTCTGTCAGTAACCATAGTTATGATTCGTCTTTGTTTGGGATTTATTTAAGTATCAGCCTATTCAATGTATACTTCAAGCTCTGTGAGCAAAGGAAACATTCATTTTTTTGGGGGGGGTCATTATTATATCTCCAATAACTATCAAAATTCATGAGGCATATAATAGGAACTAAACAAATGGTTGGTAAGAGTATATGGAGGAGGTCAGAAACATGGCTTAGTGGTTAAGAGTGCCTAGGCTGTTCTGGAAGACCCGAGTTTGAATCCCAGTGCCCATCTCAGGCTGCCCACAACCACCAGTAGCAGTAGATCCAACTTCAGGGGATCCAGTGCCCTCTTCTGAACTCTACAGGTACCTGCACACACACACACACACACACACACACACACACGCACGCACGCACGCACGCACACACCACCCCCACCACATATATACAAATAAATCTTTTTGTAAGATAAGTGAATCGAAGAATGAAGTAAAAGAGACAGAGAAAGTTAAAATACTTTACTCAAGATCACATAGCCCATAATTTACAGAAATGGGCCTGAAACTGAGGTATTTCAACCTCTAAAAACATATTTTTACCTTCAATAAGAGTATCTGTCTAATTAATCTCTCTCACTACATAAAAGAGAAAAAGGAGCTTTTATAATTCACTAAGAAAATATAAATTAGAACTAAATGAGTAAAAGAAATGGAGACCAAGAGCTGGGGAATAAAGCCCAGTTAAGCCAGTAGTATTCAGAAGTGACCTTGGGGAACTTTTTCTTACTACTATAGATAATAGTCTCATATTTAACATTTTATGTGCATAAACTGTTGTCTAACCACAGCATATATGTAGACCATGTCTACCCAAACAAATAAAAAATACAAGGATGATCAGCCAGAAATAATGTAACCATTACATATGAATGCTTATTGGTCTTTCTACTAAAAAAGAAAATATACTTTACAGTTAAAAAATATTTAACTCAATTGAAACACATAAAATCTATTCACAGTCTGTCTCTGTAGTCCATATAACAATTTCTTTTTTCTTTTTCTTTTTTCTTTTTTTTTTGGGGGGGGCAAAGTCTGTGGAAAAGAGATGAATGTTATGATCTTGAATTGTTGCACTTATTTCTATTCCAGGGTGATTCTGGTGGACCTCTGGTTTATGACAATCGGGACATCTGGTATATTGTGGGCATAGTAAGTTGGGGACAATCATGTGCTCTTCCAAACAAACCTGGAGTCTACACAAGAGTGACTAAGTATCGAGACTGGATAACCTCCAAGACCGGCATCTAAAGCAGACTCATGAGACAGAGCCATGGCACACAGAGCAGGATGCCTGCAGATTGTATATTATCACATAGAGTCGTGAGTTATAGTCACGGCACACAAAACAGGATGCCTGCAGATTGTACATTATTACTTAGAGTCGTGGGGGTTAAATCGGTGCTTCTGCCAGATATCAAGAAACTCATCAGACCTAAGCCAACTTAATATCATGAGGTGGCTTTTGTGTATATAAACTCTCTACAAAGAAGGAAGAAGACATGGCTAATGACAGGTAGCACCAATGCCTCACTCATAAGGGTGACTCCTCAGTGTGACAAACACTTACAAATGGCTTCCCTCAGGACATAAGAGCTGCCAGGCTGCTACAACCTTACCTCGTGTGATACACAGAGCTCCAGGGCTCATCTTGCAAACATCAGTTAACATCTTCCCTAGGGATTCAAGACACCAGCATTCTAGAACTCATGACTGGACATTCAGTTACTAGAATGAAGGCGCTTGGAACCTGCGGTAAAACTTGAACTCTAACCTGGGTTTGCATCTGACAGAGCAGAGCATTATTCCCAAGCACAGGAACTGTCATTATTTAAATGCATATGAACTTGCCATAACACCATAAAATACCCTCAAGCACTAGCCTCAGGAAGCACTTTTGCATTGTTAAGAATCATTTCTAACTTATTCTTTAGCAGTATCTTGCCATCCACATATCAATCGTAGTCAGCCCAGAAAAGAGAAAAATAAAACCATTGTAAGGATTTTCTCACTAGTATTAGAAGGATAAAAGGAAGCAAATGAAAGCAGAATTGGCTTAAAATGTTTAGTTGCAGGGCACACTAAACTTTTGATGGAGTGTGTTATCCAAATACTTATTTGGAAGTATCAACATGAGCATATGGTTACCAATGCTTTTGTAAATCATCACTCATTGCCAAGTCATATGTCTATCAAAATGTCAGATGGGGAGTGCCTTATGAAAAACAGTTAGGATAGTACTTACTATATACTGAGCACTAAATAAAAGTAAGTGAATTGCCCACCAAAGGGGCTTAACTATAGTTCAAAGCCTGGTGGTAGGCGTAGTGCTAGTGAGCACAGATTGCCTGAGCTAAGCCAATGTATCATGAACTTTGTCTCTCTACCATATGCAAATTATTTGCTTTTATGCAAATGGCCCAATATCTCATGGTTAGTTAGCTCTTTCATCTGTAAAGTGTGAATAAAATACTACCTCATTTTTTTGAGGATTACGTGTATTAATACAAGTAATGTATTTGCAAAAGCAACTGCACACAGTAAGTTCTCAGGATGAACAAGCTACTATCAATATTAATGGTTTGGGGGCTTTTGAAAACACACTATTTATATTTTTTAATGCCCCTACTTCTTCAAAGAAATGCAAATAATTTCAAAATACATTAAATTACATCATTAAAAAATAGATGAAGTATCAGACTTTCAAAATCACACTTATGTTGTTTCTCGGATTTATTTGGAACTGTCTGCTGTAGACAAGTAGTCATAGGATGACGATCACCACAATTAGAACTACAGCCATGCATCTGTCTTCACCTCCAGCCCTCAAATGTGAGACCTGCATTTGTTACTCTGACTTAGCAGACAGAAACTGTGGCAAAGCCATTCTTTAGTGGCTAAAACTTTTGTTTTTGGTTCAGTTTACATGTAACTGTGTTTATGTGTAACATACATAGCCAAGACAAATACAACTTTCAAAGCCTCTGAGTTGTTCTGAGTTGCATCTCAATGAGTTACAAGCGCAGGAAGGTCATGCTTTAGGAGCTGATGGCTAGCGACAGCATCAGAAAATGCAGAGTCAAAGCTTAAAGACGGGCTTGATTGGTATTGGATTTTTCCTTTAATTTAAGATAAACTCCCATTTGGTAGATAACATGAAAGCAAATGTGTCTACCCCCAAAAAAAAAAACTCTCATTCTTTCCTTTGTAAATTCTATAACAGTAGATTCATTGTATGTCATTTTATTTATATTTCATAAGACTGTGACAACTTTTTGTGTATAAATATCTGTGAAACTATGTATACTGATTTACAAATTTCCATGTTAGATTGAATTCAATGATAACACAAGAGGAATAAATATAAAAAGCTGTTTGAATTCTAAAAAAAATAGAAGTGTACTTTTTATAACAGTGTTTGTATGTCTTATTTCAAGTTTGGTATTTGACCTATTGATTGAATGGCATAGAAGTCACATGATCTTATACTTCGTGGTTTCCATCTGACACATGGGTTACTAAGCTGTCTACCTCATGGCCTTACTGTGAGGCATTCTTGATTAATAATAAAAAGCTGAAAAGTTGGAGAACATTTAAAACCTCAAAAATGCAAAGTATATAATTGTTAAAAGATATCAATATGGATGGTACAGAAAAAAGCATTAAGATTATACAGATGTGTTTGCTCTCTGCGGTATTGGGTTTTTGTTGCTTTGTTCATTTGGCAAACATAAAAATGATTAACAACACATGAGAAAATGATCTTGTCTCCTGTGTGTTGACACTATAATAATTTTAGTATTCTTTTTATTGAAAAAACAAAATTCTGGTAGGTTTAAAAGACAGAACAATTCAGTTAGACTTATAGAAAATGTAATAACTCCAATGAAGCAGGATCCTAATGAAACTTGAGGTTCTAACTAAAGGGTTAATTGTTATGATTGAGAAAGACTGAGCCAAAATTTTTGGTAATAGTCAGTCATGGCTCTGATGTCTTCACAATTCACTAACAATAAAAGCAATACAAATGCATCTGCTCTTTCAACTGAATAAACCTCTGTTGAATTATTTGGTATGTATGCACAATCCTTCATGCAGTCATAGAAATGAAGATAAACTGAAGAAATCATTGAAATTGATGCAATCATAACTTTTGGAGCTGAGGGAAGCATAAGAGATTCTTTAAAACAAACCTGTGTTTTGAATGCTGATACAAAGACTAAATAGATAGCTATAGGTTTGTAGAATGAGCCATGCTCAGTGGAAAAATAGAGTTCATCCCAGTCTTACCTCCAATGCTATAATCTGAGTTGTGCAAGTTAGACAGCCTGGGACATTGTAGCCTTAATGACCATTGCAAATCACTGATTCCCCTTGCAAAAATAAATGTGAAGTAAGCTAAATTCACACAGTGTTCCACACCTTGTGTCTCTACACATGTGTCCTCATGTTCTGGGTGTGCATGCATATGGTTGTTTGCATGTGTGCATACATACATGTGTGCTCCTGCATGTGATAGTGTGCACACATGTATGTGTGGTTTTGTCTTGTTGTCTAATACTTCATCATTTGACCCCTCTAAAATGATTTATTTCTTACTGACAATAATTCTGTCAAACTTTGAACTATAAGTTTCCAAATACTTAGTTTTATAACATAAAATCTTTGCTACATACTAATATAAAAATGTGTTTAGGGCTCATACTTCTAACCCACAATTGCCTTGCCTCCTTGCTTCCAACTTTTTTTAACAGTTCTGCCATTTATGAGATACTAGTCACCAAACTCAAAGCAGACTCCATCACTCAATTGCTTTGCTGTGCTTAATTTCAGTATCCAAGTGGATGACCCACAACTACCTTCAATTCTTTGAACTTATAAATCTAAATAACCTTAATTTCTAATCTATAGTCCATTCTATGAATCTGGTTTCCTAATTTATCAAATCTCTCAAAGTTGCCACACTATCATACTATGTTTGCCTCCTAAAGACTACATTTCCATCCATTCAAGAGATCTCTGTTAACAGTATACATTTTCCATCATTACCATTGTTAATAATTCTTTAGTTTGTATCCTAAACCAGTCTAGCAAACTCTTAGCCTAAAAACAGAAATCTCAGAACTCAGTGACTCTTTTTATAGACAGAAGTCAGCAAAACAGAGAAAGTTTCTTCAAGCATATATATTAAAAACAATACAAATTTGGGGATGTGCTCAAAATATACTTTATTTACTCACTTGAAAAAGACTTATTCAGCCCTACATAGTGAATAGGAAGAGGAAGAGGAGGAGGAAGATGATCAGGAGGAGGAGGAGGAGAAGAAGAAAATGAAGAAGAAGAAGAAGAAGAAGAAGAAGAAGAAGAAGAAGAAGAAGAAGAAGAAGAAGAAGAAGAAGAAGAGAAGAGAAGACAAGGAAGAAGAAATTGTAACACTACAAAAAAAGAAATTTAGGCTATTTCACTTCATTTGTGCCATTGGTGATGCTGGACAGCCAGTTACTTCTCTTTTGAAAATGTACACTGCAATCTTCTCAATGGGTTTTCCAACACGTCAGCGTTTTGCCAAATACCAGTGTTCAGCCCAGGCTTTTTCCACTTTCCTTGCTTCTAACAAAACAGGTTCATTACCCACCTTCTCTCTCTGGCACTCCAGTATATCCCCTACCACTGTGTGTGTGTGTGTGTGTGTGTGTGTGTGTGTGTGTGTGTGTGTGTGTGTGTGTGTGTTTGTGTGTGTGTGTGTGTGTGTTGGCATGTCTGTCTCTTCCTCGTTTCTTCCCCTTCCTTCCATTCCATTTTCCCTTCATTCCCCTTTCTCTTTCCCCTCTCTTCTGTTTTTGTTAAATGTTTTCACCATTCTTCACACAAAGAAAGAACGAAGGGGAGGGGAGTAGAATTTTCACAGCCCATGTCCTTAACCAACAAATTCAGAGAGCTGCCGTTAGATTAGACTTGGCCCTCTTCCTCACCGCTCTCAGTAAGTTCTGTGGAGATAATCCCCGAAACTCTCCTATGCTTTCCTGCTCTTCCTGCTCTGATTTTCCTTCTCCATTCTTGAGCTCCCCCTAGTTCATTCTTCTGTCTCTGTATCTCACATAGCATTAGTTATCCATCTATAGTTTGGATGCACCCTCTAACACTCAGTGGTGGTACTTAGTAAGGGGTTACTGGGTCATGAGAGTAGAGCTTTCGTGCAAAAATGTTATCATAAGCATGGGACAGCTTGCCTTGTGGCAGCAGGTCTAACCCCTGTTGTTTCTTTCCTCTTCTGCACATGCTTGCCTTCCCCCTCACCGCTCACCACTGCCAGTGCCACAAGGAAACCCTCAACAGAGGCTAAAGAGGCACCAGGACTGTCCCTTCTAGTCCCTTTGACTCCACAATTTCCAGAATCGTGCTATATATAAAAATTTTAAATTAAATTATTCGTTGTATTTCATTGTTATAGCAGCATAAAACAGACAGAAATACCCCTTATCTCCTAAAACAAGAATATTTAGCCTCAAAGCTAATAAGTTAGCCTTATTTTAACAGAAATTAGATATTGGTATTTCTTTCTATATAAAATGGTTCTCATACAAAGACAAACAGTAGCAGGAGTGGTTAATCACAAGAAAGATGTTTTAAATTTTATTTAATAGTTGTTCCATAAATACAAACATATCTAGACTAATCACAAGTTTGATTTAGTAAATTATTAAAGTCATAACTATTTCCTGTTATAAGTAAAACACTAATAAGATTTTCCGAAATACATTAATATATAAAAATATATAATATATAAAAGCTTCTTTATAATTCTACATACTCTTTTTTTATGCCTCTAAAAACATTATTATCAAAGATATAAATGGTCTTTATCAGACTTATGAGAATGCCAAACAGGGCCACATACATGGCACAAAAAGAAATCAAGAGTCTGTATTGGTAGCATAAAGACAAAACCAATTTCTTGACGTACAAGGAATTT